GGGCGGGGTGCTGGCAGGCTTGCACCTGGCACGGGCACCATAGCCAGCCCGTGCCCCTTTAAGGGCTCCAGGGACGGGAGGGGGGCAGACGAGTTTCCCTGGTGGTGCCCACAGTGGCCACCAGGGAAAGCTGGGGAAGGCTCGGCTCCCACTAGTTCAAATTAAGTGGCTACACACCCCTTAATTCGAACTAGCTAATTTGAACTAGGCGTTAGTCCTCGTAGAATGAGGTTTACCTAGTTCGAATTAAGCGCTCCGCTAGTTCGAATTAAGTTCAAACTAGCGGAGCGCTAGTGCAGCGCCTATCAAAGTTAATTCGAACTAACGTCTGTTAGTTCGAATTAACTTTGTAGTGTAGACATACCCTTATACTGACATAGCTATACCACTAGAGTTCTTTCAGTCACTTTCCTCATGGAGAGAAACCCTAAATCTCATCTTAAAAACTTTATTCTCTCACAATAGTGGTAGTAATAGTAGTAGTGTGTGTTGGACCTCTCTGGTTCGGCACCCTTGGGACCTGACTGGTTCTGAACCAAAGAATTTGCCAAACCATGGGAGGTCAGTATGGTCAAGCAGCATTACCAACACTTCCACTGTTTACTGAGCTCTTAGAGACATGTAGGGGTAAATTAGAGCTAAATAACAGCACAGAACACTGAGAGCCAGAACTGGTGGCTGTAAACAAACTTTATGGTACTACAGGACTCTTGGCCACACCCCTGATAAGTAGACATCCAGCTAACTAAAATCATGTTAGCCAGACCATGGATGTTGCTGGACCAGAAAGTGCTGGACTAGAGAGGTTTAATCTGTAGTAAAATAGCACCTGGGAGCCCTGGTGAGAGAGCAAGACCACACTACTAAGCACTGTGTAATCACAGAACAAAAAGGTAGCCCTTAGAGAGAGCTTAATCTCCTAGCTGCTGAATAAAGTACCACTGAATTTGATCAAGTCTTTAATATAAAATATTACATTGAGGTAATATTACAGAAGAGAGAGAAATGTGCTTAAAGGTAGAAAAGTTTCAAATTATATTTTGATGTGGAAATT